GAGAATCGTGATTTCTAACATGATATCAGAGCTATGTCCTAAATTTAGTCATTTCAATAAAAGCCTCAAATATCAAACAAAGAATTGTGAGCCTCGAAGGTATAGTCAAGCCTCGATTAAGGAGAAGCTATTTGAGAACTCCATATTTGTAGTATTCGTGTACTTATATATTTTTGCCTAATTCACCAAACTCAAAGTTGGTGGGCTAAACACTCGGCTAATTAATGTATGTCTTTGGTTAATTTTGGAAAACATTAAGTTTTAACACAAAACACTCCCTCCCATGTCCCTACAATTATATGATATTATTCATTTATGACCCGTATATCTAGTTTTGGTTTTCATAATATCTCATATCAATAAAGATATTATCTTTCACTTATATTTTCGTCCATTTTTTTTTTATGTAGGACTTTAATCACTTTACTAACCGTCTTAATTCAATTTAATTTAAAATTCCATTTATGATAGAAGATCTATGAGATTAGGATGCAGTCTTTATTCTCTTGCTGCAAAGAGAAAAAATTATAATATGGAAGCATGCATTTGGGGAAAAAAGCCTTTATATTTTCAATAAAGATTTAATTAATTGTAATAATAAAATAAAAATATTTATTTTCTATTTAATTCATTTAATTATGATGTTTTTAATTCAAATAATGAGCTTTTAAACTATAGTTAATGTTTTATTAATAATTTAACTGGAAAAGTATATATATATATATAAATGCACATATTACATTACCATATAGAATTTGGGTTTGAAATATTTTATGTATCATACCATCTCTATCTACCTAAAATTAGTAGGGCGTTTAACTAATTAAAGATATATTTATTAAGACATTATATATTCTTAATACGAATTAAAAGTTTAAGTGATTAGATGTTACAATTTTTAGGCTTAAATTCGAAAAAAAAAAAAAAATATCTTAACCTATTTTTTTTATAGTATAGTTTAATTAGAGATATTCATTCACCAGAGATACTCATTTTCAGTGAGGTAAAAGAATCTCCGTTTAAACAAAAAACGAAGGGAAGTGGAAAGAAATTTATAGTAAATGAAAACAAGGGAGTGGATTATATTTTCTGTCCTCGCTCCACCCTCAAACTGATTTGAGCAATACATCTAGTTAACTAACGATGATTAATTAGTAAAATTCTAAAGAATATGTAGATAAGGTAATTAAAAGAATTGACATGTTAACTAACACTACACGAATATTAAACGTATTTGCATAGCAAGTAGTTCTCTATCACGACTTTAAAACCTTTGATGACTAAATCCGATGTACATATCAAATCAACTAAATTATTGACAATTTTGGACGTATTTACCATTTTTATTTTGGAGATAGAATTAACCTAAAACGTCAACGTGAAAATTGTTTAGAATATTTATGAAACTGAAGAGAATAGTGAAAGTGAATATTTATGAAATTAATTATTATATTCTCCCAACTTCTATCTTCCACTCCACTCGAATTAAGAAAAGGTTGAGATTTCATGAGAAGAGTTTATATTTAATAAATCAAATTTATCTAAGATTTTTAGATTTCTTAAATATAAAATTAAAAATTCAAGGACTTACAAAAAAAAGATAAAGAAAAAAAAAAAAAACAATTTGATCAAAGTTGACACAAACTTTTGAATAAAAAGAAAAGTTCCAATAACTTTTCTAATGTAAATTACTTTGTTTGGTAAGATGTTCAATGCGCGTTGGAAATTAATTTGGTGTATTTGTTTTGAATACACAAACAAACTCAAAGAAATGAAACAGCAACTAAAATGGTAATCTTAAGCCAAAATTTATGTGAACTTCCACCAAAATTCTCTCATGGAATCCCAAATCCTAATTGAATAACGATCTCTTTGTATTCATAGACTAAACATTTTATAGACTAAACATTTTATATGATCAAAGATGACTGGAAAAACTTGTTCATCAATCATCTTTATTTTTCATTTTTGCATATCTAAACTGTAAACATAAACGTTTTGATGTACAATGATGCCAATGAACCTCTCATGATCAGAGCTTTTGCAATTGCAAAAATTAAATGCTCCATAACCAACTGGCTCTGCCCTATCCAATGACGTTAATCCAACAACCAACCAATTCCGGCTTGTAACTTGTAAGGAAGATACGATTTTCTCTTACCTTCTTCTTTCAATGTACGATTCCTCACGTAGAACGATTCGTGTGCAGAGATATTCTTCTTGTGATCTCCGCCGGGTCTCTGGCCTCTCGATTTGTTGCCGATACGCGCCTCCCTGGAGTAATATATCTTCTCCTTCAATTCCTTCGCCGATTTTGTTTCTGACTTGATTTCTTTTGCCTTCTTAGTTGAGTATAAACTCGTCGACGAAGTGAAGGAGACATATGTGTGATTTCCGCTGCTGTGGCTTCTCCGTAAGAGGTCTAGGATTCCCCAACGCTTTGTCGACGATGATCCAGTGGATCGGCTCTTCTTGCACGCCAGATTTGGCGTTCCGACAGATTTAGGGTTCCAAACGCAGTACGTTCCAGACGGAACTCCTTCCAATTCGTCCGCTGACGATGACGATGACGAAGAAGACGACGAAGAATACAGCGGATCGTTATCTCGATCTCTAATTAGAAGCTTCTCCAAAGGAATTTGAATAGGCTGCACGATTGCCGAATCTCGACCGTCGATTTCCGCTCTTTCAACCTGACGTTCCTCAAACAGAAGCTCGGAATCGAAAACCGGAAACACAGGAGCGATCAAACCGCCGCGAAATACCTCGGAATCACCAGATTTCTGGAGCGAGACGAATTCGAAATCATCGTCATCTGCCTGATCCTCTGCTTTGTTCAGCGACGGCGATCGATCGAAATCGAATGAAGAACAGCCGCTTGAGAACTCGCCGCTGGCTCTTCTAGCGGCATCTGCGGTTGCTCCGCTGGAGTAACTATTGAAGCTCGGACACAATCCGAAATCTTCTTCTTGCATTTGCAGAGACATGGCGTTTCTTCTTTCAGAGTTTGTTTGAGATGACTATGTAGAGTGTCGAGTTTGGGAATGAGAAAAACGAATGTAGTGGTTTATATATAACATATATGGAAAAAAAATATATTTAAATACAAAATTAAAATAAGATTAAACTTGCCATTTAAATTATATATAGATTTAATAGGTAAAGTCTTTAAAATTATTTGATATTTTAAATTATCCACATATTTGATATTTTTAGAACTCATTTTTTTTTTCCAAATAAATTTAATTGGGTTGGTAGAAAGTAAAACCAAACTAAATTTAAGGAGATCCGACAAAAAAAAAATTATCATCCATATCCAAATGAAAATGACATATTTTTTTGGAAATAAACCAATTTATTTAATCTACAAAAGAAAAGAAAATTAAAGAAGTATTTATTCGCCTTCAACATATAAAAGAATTAATTTTTTAAAAAATAAATAACATAAAACAAATTGAAAAATTTATGAAAATATGTATTTTATACAACCCAACATTATAAAAAAATTGTATTATTTTTTTCATTTAATATTTGACCCATTGATATATTATTTTATATTATATATTACAGACTATTTTTTTTTACTAATAATAACAAAATAAAAATAGCATGAAAAAAAACATTTAAATTGATTATTAAACATTTACACCTGTCAAGCGTGTGAATCTGCAACTTTACGAAAAGAGGACGAGTGTAATCTTAAATGCAGATTTAAACATCCAACGGCTGTGAAACGGTAGTTGAATTTGTACGGACGAGATATAAGAATATTTGAGAAATCTAGAAGGTGAAAATAAAAAGAATAAAATAAGGGGTTGACACGTGTCAAACCGTGTCCGAGATCCTTCCCTTTACTTCACGAACACGTCGGACGCCCATAACGGAAGAAACACGTGGGCTTCTTTTCGACGTCGGAGTGCTTTCCTTTATTTATTACAAATGCATAAATACAACAAATTCGGATGAATTTTCTTTTCAATTTTTATTATATTTTAATTAAATTATTATGGTAAATTCTGAATCTAAAAAAATAATATGGTATTTGATAAATTAATATTAAATTGTTGTGTCCAACATGGCAATAGTAATATAATTTTCAAAGATTTTACATGTGTCAATTTAAAAACGATTTTGTTTAATCTAAAGTATTTTACCAAAGTTTTAACAAAATAAAAAAAGAAAAAATAGAAAGGTGATTTTACATAAATAAATAAATAATTAGATTTAGTAAAAAAGCTTAAACACGTTAAGATTCTCCACAAAAGCTTTTTACTTTTGTAAAGCCAGAATCAAGAATAAGCCGTCAAAGAATTGATTAACTATTTTTAATTAAAAAAGGATTTTAAACACAAATATATATATATATATATATTATTTTATGTATAAGAGATTTTTTGCTAATTTAATATTTTCTTAAATTAATCAACTTATATTTAAATTAATATTTTATGTATAAGAGATCATTTTCAGCATTTAATTATCTCAAATTGTAGAATCGTATAACAATGGAAAACATGTTGTGGGTGTCAATTTTATGTATATTAAATTGAGGTTGCAAAATTCTATGTATCCATTTTAATATATTTTATTTAAAGCGTGCCTTATAAAAGGGAAACGTGTAATCAAAATTTACAGGGAGATTTTTTTTTTTTTATTTTGTTAATTTATATACGGGTTGATTTTAGTCTCTAAAAATTTAGTTAATTTATTAAAAATAATTATCAAATTTGTTTTTTTTTTTAAAAAAAAATAATAATATAAACGTTAAATTTTTAATAATATTTTTAAACTTCATATTTACTTTTAATATAATATCTCATTTAAAATATTGTATTAATACGCTTAAAAGTAATTTAAAAAGTTGACCTTTAAAAAACGCGATAAACTACCGATATCTCTTCCGATTAACTCGAGATCCAAAATATCGCGTATGGACCCCACTCTCCTTTTCTCTCGTAGCTTTAGTTTCCATTTTACAGAAACGTCGGTTCTTGTTCGAAGTTCATCCCTCAACCCTGTAACGAATAAGAAAAGTTTTGGTTTCTCGTTTGCAATCGGGTTCCGTGGACATTTAATCGAGTTCTTTGAACAGCTTGAATCCTGGATCGTTTTCGTGAGAAACGAGGAGATCGTTTTCGTCGTTTTACTACATTCCAGATTGATCGCCAGCTGCATCTGTGTCATTTCTGTTGATTTGGATTCGGTTCTGATATCTTCATCGCTGGAGATACTGAGGTTCGTTAATCGTTCAGTTTCTGATCAAGTTTAGTATGGAATTCAGCTAGTTCAATCTCCGCTACTTGTTTTCTCAAAATTTCCCCCTGCTTTGTTATTCTGTTGAGCTCGCAACTTGTTTTATATGGAATCGGTGTGTATTTTTCTGTTCATTTTGATTCTCTGACCATAATTTTTAGATTCCGGACCTGCCAGATGAATGAGTTGATAATGCGATGTTTTATGATCTAAGATGGTAGATCAATTCATTCGAAATAGAACTTTTCACATTTAGGACAGAAACAATAAAAGAAAGAAATGAGAGTTAGGAATCGGCTAGCATACGTCGCTTGGAATTAATTTGTTTGCTTCCTACATCATTAGTTGCTTAATTTGTAGTTATTTATATATAAACGCGCATGTTTAAACCATTCCTTCCAGATTGACCATTACTCTAATCAATTGATTCAATTCCATTCGATTCCTGGTCGTTAGTTGTAGGATTTCGAAGTTTTATCCAACGTAATGCACGCTCCTTTGGTTGTCAATTGCACAGTTCTCCTGGTCACAACCTTGGGATAGTGAATGCCATACTTCGCTGGAGAATCATGCCTTCATATAATGAAATTGGCCCTTCCAGAAGGACTCGAGGAGCCGATTATGCCTATTTTAATACGTGAAGTTCTCAATGGGTTGGGAAGTCATCCGGGTGTTAGGAATTGCTTAGCACACGCTTGAACTTGCCCCGTTTTCCAAGTTCTACCTATGAAGGTAATTATAATATCAGATTAATCCAGAGGAACGAGATATGTATCAATTAAATTTATATTGGGATCGTCAAGTTCACATTTCTCTTTTACTAGCATTGATTCAGACAAAAATTCAATTCTATACTTATGCATCCTTTCTTACTTGACCATGCCCTGAATATTTGCTTTTGGTGCCATGCAGAAAGAATATATTCGTGGAGTGAATGCCTGGATTCCAACCTCAATGATTTGACACAAGTCAGGGTGCCCTCGTATGTAACTTTCTTTAGAAAGCAGCGGCATGCTGCCTACTTCATGCTCTGACTAATTTTGTTCTTGATTTGGATGAAGTAATGCTCTGTGTTTCAACTTTTTGCCAGCAGATTCAGGATGATGCAGGTAACGGATGTGGGAGTAAATGAAAGGCAAGAAGATAAATAGGAGTTTGGCTTACATGCAAGAGAAGACATTAGTGGAAAAATTGGCTGTTCCAACACTACACCTAGCTGTGAGTTCTCGTTGCCTAATAAGTCAATCTTTATTTGGTATCAATCTTTATCTGCAGTGGTGGACATGTAGAATAGCACAGCTATTACACAAAATCATGTTTGCAGGAAGAAATTAATAAGTCAATCAAGTATCTGGAACAAATCTTTGGTAGTTTTCGTTTTCCATTTCCCATCATTTTTCCCATCTAAGCCCCTACGCTATTATTTGGCTCAAGTTAAAGTTTTAAGTCGATACACGCATGAACATAGAGTCAGCTGAGGTGAGCATGAGTGACTTTATGCAGGTATGGCGTTTTTGGGTGTTTGTTCTTTTAATTATTTCTAACTTAATATTTAGTGTCCTGTGGTTTCTTTTTAGTCAATAAATTCATGCATCTTTCTGATTTTCTCTTGAATGAAGAAAAAGGGAACCTATTTTTCCAGATTGAAATATAGAATTTTGTGGTATTTGTTCTTTAGGAGAGAAGGATATAATGTTAAAACAACTGAAGTGCTCATTCTCAACAATAACTGAATACACTGAAGACGTTTCTTTTACTTGACTAGTATACTACTATACATCAATTGATGAACCAAGAAACAATGAATTAAGCTTTCATTTCGATTTTATGTGAGGCCAGAAAACTAATTAAACTAGTATGTATCACAAAGCATAGGTTGTTTGGTGTACTTGAACATGTAACGTAGCTGCTACTGCCACATTCGACTGAACAGTTACTCTGTTGTGCGATACATTAGTTAAGGCATGGTTTGGAAATACCTGAACTTGACCTTGACCCTGACCCTGAGTCTGCTCCATCTCCAATGAGTACCCTACATTTTTTATGAGGTTACGAAATAACAATAGGCTTGAGAAATCAAACGTCCAAGTCGTTCCATTTGCTCTTGTGGATCCTCTTCCCACCGTCGTTTTAACCACCATCCCACGAACATTATTTCTATCTACCACCACTTGATCAATTCTAGTGAAGGGAGTCTTGGATTCATCCAACTCTACTATTTTCACCCCTGTATAATCTCCCGAAAACATGTTATCCACAATATTCAGTCCACTTATTACTCCCCCTATTGATTTCAGTACAACCAATGCATTCCCTAAGAAGAAGCATCCTGTTATATGCACTTGAACTGGGTCCTCCACCACCACTCCTGTGTAATCCAAGTAGCAATTCACTATCCTTGTTTGTGTAAAACCAGGTGACCCCACGTAAATTCCGATCCCACCCAATCCCCTCGCCTTGTTGTAGCAATGTACTCCCATTAACACATTAGCTTGTCCCAACAGCATCACTCCAATCTCTGCCGAGTATATTACTATGTCCCTCAACACATTGTCATTTCCCATCATTTTTACTCCGATCCCTGAGAAGTCCTTTTCACCTCGGTCTCCACCCATGTTAATGTGCTGCCCAATGAATGAGTTTCTTATGTAACTCTCATGCCCACCTTCAATTACTATCCCCTCGCTCATGAAGTGTGATATGTAGCAGTTATCTACTGTAGTTCTCACTGAGTTGACAATGGCTATCCCACCTCCTCTGAAATTGCAGTTTAACATCAGGTCCTTGAGTGTGATATATTCATACATTACAGAGGGTGACGATGGCCTTAATTCTATAAGATGGCCATCGCTTGGAAAAGAATCCGATGCGCGTAGTGATCCTCCATGTATCTGTCCACATGTAAATGTATTCTTATTATATTCGTAGGTAGTTGAGAAGAGAGGGGGTGTAGTGTCATATAATAGGTACCATGAAATTGCCAGCGGCTATGTCTGGTAAGCGCAAGGGGCGACTGATCTTGTAAGTCCCTCCATCTAGGTGAATTTGAGAGCCTCCTAGGTCTAAAATGCCTTTCATCAAGTGAGCATCCGTGGGATACCGAAATGCATCAGAGATGGCTTTCTCTATCGCCTCGGTGCTGTCAGTTTCCCCAGTAGGATCAGCTCCATAGGAAACCACGTGATAAACACGCGATCCCGATATTGGCTTCATGGTTGATCATATGGTTAGACAGTTTCAATCCAATCAAAGCCAGTTCTAATGTAGAGTTTAGAAAGAGAGGGAGAGAGAGAGAGAGTTACCGTGAGATGAGATTGAGAAGGATAAGTGTGAGAAGGAGATGCAGATGAGAGGCCATCGTACTGATAGTTGTGCAGACGAGATGGATCGAGGCGTCTCATGAAGTGATCTTCATAAGATGTGGAATATGAGCTCTCACTCACAATCACAAATTCACTGATAGTAACTGCATAAACAAAGGCTATGAAAGGCCAAGAAGTAGAAGCATAGCTTCTGGGATTCATCTCTCACACTGATGAACTAAATGACAGAGGAATGAGATGAACTAGGAGACGACGTATATAAAGATGCATAAATTGATATTGAGGAGGGTATGAGCAATCAGCTGAGGGCGGCTGGTCTCAATTTCCAAGCGGTCAAATATAAGCTTGGAAATTGCAGTCATTGGACTGTTTTTTGTTAGGCAAAGCTAACCGTTTGTGTTTAGTTTTAATTTGATCTCTACTACATTTAAATAGGAAAAATTGTTCCCATGAAGAATTTAATTAAACTAAGATGAAACTTTTAGCTGCCTGGAGAGAGAGAAAGAGGGAGGGTTTAGTTATATTTTTCAAAGTTAGGTCTTAAGAGTTGCTTTGCTGCTGTACCAGGTGAGGAATCTTCTTTTCTCATGCATTTTCTAGTAACCCACAGTAAGCAGGAAGCAAATAATTCAAGATTTTGACCAAGGATTTCCCATTTCTTGGTAGATTCTTTCACCTTAAATTCAAAATAAAACACAATATGTGTGTAACATGTGTATTGGAAAGAAAGTGGAAATTAAGAATTTGGGTAAATGTTCTTTTCACAATTTAGTTTCCTACCTACTTTCATTCAGGTTAACATTATTCGTTTGTGTTTAGCTTCAGTTTGGGGAAGATCTTACCAAATTACAGGGATCCAAATAAGATTCTAATTTTAAGTCTAATAAAGTATAGTTATATTATAAAACTAACAGACATGTATAAAGTTGGGATTTTATTATTATGTCCCTGAAAGTTTGAAACAAGGGAGAAGAATACATCCAGACTTCGTTGTATAGTTGGATGAACTTTACAATTTGCAAGGATTTAACCATTATTGTGAAAATTATAATGTCTAATTGAACTTTGAACTTTAAACTACAAACTACGGAGTTCGTAGAATATGAATACTATTAAAATACAACATGGTAACAATTAAAATATATAGTTTCAGCACAAAATAAGACCAAATATACACATTTTTTTCTTCACATTTTGTTAAATTTTGTTGATATGGCCTACCATCGTTAAACAAATATTAGAAGGTCGTGGTTTTGTCTCTCTTTTTGGCAACAAGAATAAGTTTGAAGTTAAAGTTTTACAAATTAAATTAGTTTTTGGGAATGAATAAATAAAACGAGTACGTTAGTTTTCATGATTAAAATTTTTCACCTACCTTCAAACTTCGGATTATCATAACCTACCATGTGGTACTTTATATAATTTATTATACCCATACTATGTTTTTTATTAGGTTTATAATGATAGGTTATGTCCTATTTTGTTAAGGATATTAACAAAAATAAAATAAAATAAAGTTTGTGGGCATCTTTTAAAATCTAAATCTATTTTTAAAACAGAGTACCATCAATAAAGTAAATTTTTAATTTTTTTTTAATTAATATTATTATAGAAACTTTTAAAAATTTAAATGTATTTTTGAAAAAAAAATGACAAATGATAATTTAACATTTTTAAATTATATTACTGGTCATGTTACAACTTCCCATCTACCCTTCATTTAAAAGAAATTATTCACCTTACCTAACGTCACTAAACCATTTATTAAATCCACGTGTCCAAATCGGAAGTGAACGTTTTCCTCTCGACTGCTTCTTTTTATGTATATTTTTTTCATACTTCAAAAAAAAAAAATTAAATTAAATATAAGACAATGGTGTTTCTCCTTTTTCCTTTTCTTTTAAAATTAAAATTTTGAATATGATTTCAAAATTAAAATTAAAATTTATTGCATTAACTTTAACATGAATGGGATGATTATAGAAAATAGCAAAAGTTTACATGCACATGGTTGCACCGTACACGTTATGATACGCACGTGACGATCAGTCCTAGCATGTATGTGATGTGATCTATTAAGATCATGTCCTATAATGTTATGGAAACACAAAACAGAGTCATATACTACTTGTATGTATTCCACTAAGATCGTGCTCTACATGATATGAACTTGTATGACTTGTGACGATAACACCATAGAGCTACGAGACTATGAAGGAATAACCAATGTTATGTGTCATAAAAGTGATTTTTTTTAGTATTTTATCATATTTTTTTTAAATTAGTACTATAAGTATTATTATTATTTTTATTAGAATTAAGTTTGACCTTCTATTTAAAAAAAAAAAAAAAAAAAGAATTATTTGATTATTTTCAAGTAGGGTTGGCCATCGGTGATACCTACATATAATAATAATACGTAATATTTTTTTATTTGTAAAAGAATTAATGAACCTTGAAAATTGGAGTAGGTGGCCATGGCTATATATAAATATTATTTCTTTTATTTTCTCTGGATGCCATATTTGATTTTTTTTTTCTTTTTCAAATCTTAATATTTTATTCAATTTTAAATTTCCTTTTTAATATTTTAATTAGATTTTATCTTATTTATTACTTTAAATATATTTTAAGTTTTAATCATATTATAAAATTAAACATTTAAAAGTATAATGATTAAAATAGATCATTTTTAATTCTCTTTTATTAACTTGTTTTTTTCCCTTTAAAAATATGGAAAATCTCTTTTATTAACTAATAATAATTTCTTTATCCCTCTTCAAAAATGACGGCCTATTTTCATGGTCAACTAATTCCAATTTTAATTTGACTCGTGAACATTTAAAATTCTGAATAAATATATTATTTTACAATTTTATTATATGAAAATCAAAAGGATAAATTGAAGACCCAAATTACCTTACGAATTGAAATCACGACATTCCTCTTCCTTTAAATAAAAAATTCATTGTTCGGGTCAACTACATTACTTTGTCAAAATTAGGAGTGTTCTTACGACTCAATAACCTTATCAACTCGAACTATTCAACTCAAACCAGGTTAGATTTTTTTTTTTTTTTTTTTTTTTTTTGAGTTGGGTTGAATTTTTTGAAGACAAAAAATTTAGTCTAGTTTGCAAGTTGACATTTTTTTTGGTCGGGTCAACCTAACCAACTTGAAAAATAGAGTTATAACTCAACCTAACCTTATCTTGCTTTAAAAAGAAATTAAGAATATTCATTTGTAACCCGTGTTAGTGATAATGACGTTGGATTGCAAACTTTATTCAGATGACCCAAACTTTAATCTAAATGATTTTTTCAACTCGATTTGTGCATTCCATAGCTATCTTAAAAGTCTATGATATGAAACTCCACCTAATCGAGAAAAATAGACAAAAATAATGGGTTGGTATTGGTGTTATGGACTTCCACGTACCTAACATTTGCTTGGTGACGTTCTTTTTTTCCCTGCCCTAATAATGACCTTTCCCTTTATGCTTTTAGTCCAATTAAAATTAATAATTAAAAATGAAAACTTGCTCTTGGCTTCCCGAAAAGACCTCGTACCAATAAAAATAGTATTTCTCATCTTCCATTAATTAACCAATGTGGGGACTCACTCCCAATAATCTTCAATAATCTTGCCTTAGAACAAATTACACTATAAGTCTCATTTGAGGTTTATGAAGCTCTCAAGTAGCCTCTCTTTAATCAAGGTTCGACTCTTTTATCTGGAGCTCTCGAACAAAGGATGCAAAATGTATCATTTGTTCGACACTTTAGTCACTTCTGACTACATTTTCGAGGCTCACAATTCTTTGTTTGATATTTGAAGATTCTATGACATAACTAAGTTTAGAGAATATTTTAAATATTTTAAATTTTTTTAAACCAATTTTAAATAATACCTAATTTCACAATAGTCACGAATTTTCAAGAATAATATTAAAAAGTTTGAATATGATATAAGACAACGGGTAATTTTCGTCCATAATTTATAGTAAAAAAAATTGAATGAAAATTAAAATAAAGTTAATATTACTTTTAAAATTTCAAAATTATTTTTAATTTTAATTTTTTTTTTATTGATTTAAACTCATAAATTTTATCGGCATAAAAAAAAGGCAAGCTCATAGAGAACCATGAGAGTAGGTAGAGAGAGAAAAAAAAGACCTAATTTTTCCAACCACCTAAGATTAATTATTTAAATCAAATTGCATGGATGTAAATTTTTTTAATTTAATATTAACGCTTAAAAAATTGAGGGGTAATAAAAAAAAAAACAATAATTTATGTGGTCGATATCAAATATACTAAAATAATAATAATAAATGTGATGTTAATCCCTTAATTACCATTGATTGAAGCTTTATGAGTAAATTCTATACATAACAATATGTCCTCTTTTAAATAAATTGACAAAAATAGAGCTATGAAGAAAAATATTGAATTAAGTGTAAAATTGTAAAATATAATTTTGAAACATACTGGATTATTCAAATTGTTATTTTTGGTCATTAACTAAATTTAATTTTGTACAGATCTGGATAATATCTATTAAATTAGGGATTTGGTGGAGCTTTTTAAATAATATAAGTTGAGGGATTGATATAAAAGTGCCACGTTTCAATTTAGAATTGAGTTTTTTAAACAAAAAATTAAATAATTTAATGTTTGTTTATTGCGGGCGTCCCTGTAGTTACTTTCGGAGGAGCGGAGATTCCTGTGAAAACGTTCTTTTCGTGGGAGGGAACTAATTCGCGAACGGATCTGAGATATAAATAATCACCACTCCTCTCAGACTCATTGCTTCCAAGATTCTGCGCGATCAGGTTCCACTCTGTTTCAACTTCAACAGATCGAAATGGGGATTGTAGGGGCGGAAGAGTGCCGGAGAGTGGAATTGGAGGAGCTCCGCCGCATCTCTGAGCGTGCCTGTATGCTTGCTGCTCGTCGGAAGAATTCTGATGAATTTCATGGAAGGAGAGTTTTGTCGAACTCCTTGAGTGACACCGACGAGGAGCCCGGCGACGAGTTCGTTTGCGTCACTAGTGGCGTCTCTCCCTTGGGCCTTGCGGTGGTGAATCAGCTCCTGCAGCGTGGATTTTCTGTTCGGATCGTTCTCGATAATCCTGGTTAGTTTTGACTTATATTGCTGGTGATTTTCTTTTAAGAGTGAAATTGCTGCTCAGAATCGTTCGATTTTTTACTGCTTTAGTCTTGATTTTCTCCTCTGATTTCAGCTTAATTTCTATCATTTTCCCGGTTACTTTCTGTTTATATTACCGGAATCGTCTTTGAATTTGACGCATCTGATTCAGTGACATCGATGCTTAGAATTGTTCGATGTTTAGGGTTTTGATTTCTCCTTTACTCTCCACAATGGTATGATATTGCCCACTTTGAGTGTAAGCTCTCGTGGCTTTGCTTTGGGCTTTCCAAAAGGTCTCATACCAATGAAGAGTCTATTCTTAGATTATAAACCCATGACCATTCCCTAAATTAACCAATGTGGGACCTTCATCATCAAACAGTTCTAAGATTAACTTCAATTTTTTTCGGATCACTTTCTGTTTCCTTTCTCGAAAAAGAACACGTTGCATTTTCGGGAACCTTTTTGGTATCTTACGTCTCTGTTTCAGTGACCTTCATACTCACGATCGTTCGATTTTCGAGTGTTAACTATGATTTTCTCCTCTTTTCTAAGCTTAACTCCATCATTGTCCAGATTACCTTTTGTTTTCTTTCTCGGTAAAAGCATATTGCATTTTCGGGAATCTACGTCGTATTTTACTCGCATGTTTCATTGACATTCTTACTGAGAATTGATTTTTTTTTTTTTTTTAATTTAATTTTTTGTTTTTCCTTCTCTGTTCTATGCTCAACTTTGATCATCTTCCGGATTACTCTGTTTTCCTTCTCGTTTTTTGTCATTAACAAACCAGAACAAAAGCATATTGCATTTTCGGGAATCTTCGTATTTCACGCTTCTGTTTCAGTAACATTGGTGCTGAGAATCGTTCGATTTTTTAGTCCTTAACTCTTAATTTTCTCCTATGTTCTAAGTTCTGACCTTAAGTTTGATCATTGTCCAGATTCAAAAACAAGAAAGAGTATATTGAATTTCGGGAATCTTCTTCCTACTTCACGCATCTATTTGTTTCATAATATTGATTTCGTTTCCGAATTCATATGTTTGTTTAGAACCGTGCTTCCAGTTGAGATAGAAATCATGAATAGAACAGTACGAATATATATATATATATATATATATATATATATATATATATATATATATATATTTTGTGAATTATGAAAATGTCAACATTGTCGAAGATAATAAATATTCTCACAGGGAAAAAAAAAAGTCTATAAAAATCATTAACCATTATTTTTTCATATAGATGTTTTTTTATTGAAATAATTATATTTATCATAGAAAATTAAAAGTTTAAATTTCATTAGATATAAAATTTAATTTTACATAATAGATGAACAGAACATTTTAAAATTTTGAATATTTGTTGATACAAATTTAAAAATTCAGACTAAATTTACAATTTAAATACAAAAAATTAATGTATTAAACTTCAGATCAAATATTATAAATTTGACTTGGTCAACTAAATATATGAATTATCTGATGCAGGAAGAGACGTTAGAAGATAATTATTGTAAATTTCTTGTTTTTGTATTTAACTTGGAATTGAAGTTTAATAAATGATGTAATTATGTTTGAAAATGATGCAGAAGACGGAGAAAAACTGGGAGAGATGAATTCGGAAGCGGGTGGGATTAAAATCAATGACAGCAAAGTATCGACGGTGTCGGCCAACCTGATGGAGTGCGATAGCTTAGCAAATGCTTTTGAAGGCTGTCGCGGTGTCTTCCATACCTCTTCTTTCATCGATCCTACTGGCCTCACTGGCTATTCGGTACGCATCATTTTTTAAGTTTTTAAATCATTTTTTTAGTTCTCAATTTTCAAAATCATTTTATTTTAGTACGGTTGGCTCAGTAGTCTTAAATGTTTTAGAATCACGTAGCTGTCACAGTTTTATTTATTTTTATTTTTTTTTACAAAAAAATAGGTATAAAATATTTAAACATTTAAAGTGTAAAATAGAACTAACAAGTTGGAAATTTAAAATAAAAAAAAAATGGTTAAGTGGAAGACACGTCAACATTGTGGCTAACAGCGCGTGAAAGTCTTAATGAAGCGGTGGAAGATTAAAAACCATCCCATTGTTGCATTGTTGGATGTTTTTTTATCCGTCCACACAAACACTTTGGTATTCATTTATTGGAAAATTCAGTTGCCTAACTAATTACATTTAATGCCAACAGAAATGTTTAGGTAGGATGGTTGAATTTATAATCAAATAATACTCTGATACGATGCCTTTTGGGGAAGTGCAAAACAAAGCCATGAGAGCTTATGCTCAAAGCGGATAATATCATACCATTGTGGAGAGTCGTGTTTATCTAACATAGTATCAGAGTCATGTCAATAGAATCCTCAAATGTCGAACAACGAACTCTAAAAGAAAAAGGAGTTGAGAGTCGTGTTCGTCTAACAACCAATGTGTGTGTATATATATATATGATGAAATATTTTGGAATGGTTGGAATTAAGAAATTATTAATGAAGTTTAAATTCTTCTAAACATCTTTTAGTTTCCATTTTAACATAGTCTAACCTTCTCTTACAAATGGCGATGCTGCATCCTAAAAGAAAGCCATGGCTGAGGTGGAAAAGAATGCGAGTGAGAATGTTATGGAGGCATGTGCAAGAACATCCTCTGTAAGATACTGTGTTTTTACCTCTTCACTTTTGGCCTGCATATGGCGTGACGGTACACGAGCTGAGCTCTCGCCAGTTGTCGACCATGATTGTTGGAGTGATCAATCGTTATGCGTCGATAAAAAAGTAAGTCTAGATCTAAACTTATTTACTGTTTTATTTTTCGGAACTGTTTCTAAAAACTATAATTAAATAACCTGTGAATGTTAAGCTTATAATGAATTCAAAATTATATTTACAAGCCCCTAATATACTTTTTAAAGAGGAAGTAATTTATACAAAGTGGTTAGATCTTTAGTAATTTATACAAAGTGGTTAGATCTGTGTTTGTGGGTTTTTTTGTCTCATACATCTTTCTTTAAGTGGTTAGACATTTTTGTGTCCGGATGAAAAGGGACTATTTATCTTCCTTCTTTTACTATAATATTTAAAAAAATAACATTAACTTAAAATAAATAAAAGTGAATTTGAACATATCACAAGAATATTATGTGCTTTAAAAAGTGAATTTGAATACATCATTTGCATATGAGAAAATAAAGATGAACTTCAAAGAGATGTTATTATTTATTGTGCTTTATAAGTGGATAATTTATCTTTTAACTTGATGGGGAAATATTATTATGGGGTTTTGAAAAGGCAATTTATATTGGTTGTTGTTGGAATTCAAGCTATGGTATGCTTTGGGGAAGCTAAGGGCAGAGAAGGCAGCATGGAGAATTGCAAAAGAAAGAGGTTTAAAGTTGGTCACCATTTGTTCTGCCTTGGTAACAGCTCCTGACCTCTGTAATATGAGGAATTCAACTGCAACAATTGCTTATCTCAAAGGTACTTTTTTTCCTTGATGGTGTCATCGTAGTGTTCACTTACTCAATCCTTAACCATTTAGATTTTAATTATATGGCATCAATATATGCTCGTGTTAATGTATTGTGATAGAAAAAGAATTGTGCTATAATAAACTTAGAAATTTGAGTTCAAAATGAACTATGAGAAATTTGAGTTCTTATCGTTTGTAATGGTTCAAATCCACCGTTAGCAGATATTGTTTTCTTTGTGCATTCTCTTTCGAGCTTTCTCTCAAGTTTGTAAAACAAAGGAATGTTTCTTTCTCTTTTCAACTTACGTGGGATCTCATAATATTATTTTCCATTTTCCATAATCGTGAATTTCATTCAAGTTTTCGATCTTTCTCACTTCTTTTGATATCAGGAGCAAAGGAGATGTACGAGCAAGGGCTATTAGCGACCGTAAGCGTGCGAAGATTGGCGGAGGCCCATGTGAATGTGTACGAGGCAATGGGAGAAAACGAGGCACATGGAAGGTACATTTGTTTTGATCAAATAATCAAAACACAGGCTGAGGCCGAGGCTTTGGCAAGGGAAATATGTGTGCCTGTGACCAAAATTTGCGAATCCCAAGAAGCATCAACAAGCACTTCTAGTAAGTTTCAGTTATCAAACAAAAGGCTTTTCAATCTCACCTCTTCAAGAGCTCCTACTCGCTGTTATTCTCTGACGCATTTCCCTATTTAAGAAAAAGGTAGCACAAAGTTTGAGTACAGTAGTGGTAAAAAGCTGAATAATTACTGCTACTTACCTATCTATGAGGTAGAAGGTTAGTTATTGTACGACAGGTATGAAATAAATATTTAAATTTATGATGGTTCCCCTATGTTCTTAGTCTTTTTTTTTTTTTTTTTTTTTTTTTTTT